GCAAAACCCTCCTCCAACACCCCATGGCTGTGACTTCATGGAGCTCCAACCCCTCCTGGATCCTCCTCCTCCTCCTCCTCCTCCAGGGAATCTCAGCTCCTTCACATCACCGTGCAACTCTTTGCTTTGTCCTTCCTCAAGTCCGTGGCCACTGTGGACAGTTCTGGCCTGCCTGGCATGTGGGAAATCCTCTTTGTGGCCCTCTGAGATTTGTTCCGTTTCACGTTTTTGTTTGTTTTGTTCACACACGCCAGGGTGGCGACGTGAAAAATGTCTCTGACGCTGTTTTCAGACTGCAAGGCTGAGCACTCGATGTACGTGGCTGCTCCAATCTGCTTGGCCATATTTGCACCCTGAGGGGAAAAAAAAGCAACATGTGATCAACACAGAGTTGTGCAGAGAGCCTGAGAGAGCCTCAATTCCTGCTTGGAGCTGTTTCCCAGGAAAACCCAAAGCTAATTTGGGAAAATGGACAGTTTTGATCCCAAGAGCATCAACTTCTTGATGGGGAATAAGGGGGGGAAAAAGGGGAAAAGGACGTGGGGGGATTATAGGAACCCCTCTTTTCTAATTTGGCCATATGGGAAAAAGGAACATTGGACCAATACCAGGTTGTGCAGAGAACTTGAGAGCCTCAATTCCAGGAAAACCCAAAGCTGATTTGGGAAAATGGACAGTTTTGATCCCAAGAGCCCCAAAGAGAAATTCTGTGCCTTAGGGCCCCTGTCACAGCTCCAGCAAGAGGGCAAAAATCCCAGAGAAATGTGCCCTGGAAGAGTTTTATCAACTTCCTGATGGGAAACAGGGAAAAATAGGGAAAAGGGATATGACAGGGTTATAGGAGCCCTTCTATTTTGATTTGGCCATATTTGCACCCTGAGGGGAAAAAAAGCAACATGTGATCGACACCGAGCTGTGCAGAGAGAATGAGAGAGCCTCAATTCCTGCTTGGAGCTGTTTCCCAGGAAAACCTAAAGCTGATTCGGGAAAATGGACAGATTTGATCCCAAGAGCATCAACTTCCTGATGGGGAAGAGGGGAGAAAAAAGGGGAAAAGGACATGAGGGGGTTATAGGAACTCTTCTAATTTGGCCATGTGGGAAAAAAGGAACATGGGATCAACACCAAGTTGTGCAGAGAGCCTGAGAGAGCCTCAATTCCAGGAAAACCCAAAGCTGATTTGGGAAAATGGACAGTTTTGATCCCAAGAGCCCCAAAGAGA